AATTCTGGCCACAAAATAGAGCGAAACACCACGTCAAAGACCTGGGAGTGATCATGTCGGAGGATCTCACCTTCAAGGACCATGAACATTGTATCAATCGCATCTGCTAGAAAAATGACAGGATGGATAATGAGAACCTTCAAAAACTAGGGAGGCCAAGCCCATGATGACACTCTTCAGGTCACTTGTTCTATCTAGGCGGAATATTGCTGCACACTAACAGCACACTTTCAAGGCAGGTGAAATTGCCGACCTAGAAAATGTACAGAGAACTTTCATGGCGCGCATAACGGAGATAAAAACACCTCAATTATTGGGAGCGCTTGAGGTTCCTAAACCTGTATTCCCTGGAAACGCAGGAGGGAGAGATACATGATTTATATACACCTGGAAAATCCTAGAGGGACTAGTACCGAACTTGCACACGAAAATCACTCACTACGAAAGCAAAAGACTGGCAGACGATGCACCATCCCCCAATGAAAAGCAGGGTGTCACTATCACGTTAAGAGACCATATCAATAAGTGTCAGGGGCCCGTGAATGTTTTCAACTGCTCCCAGACACATAAGGGGGATTACCAACAGACCCCTGGCAGTCTTCAGCTGGCCACTGGACTAGCACCTAAAGTTCAGTTTCCTGGATCAGCCGGGCTGTGGCTCGTACGTGGTTTGCGTGCAGCAAGCAGCAACAGCTGGTTGATCAGCTCTGATCCACCAGGAAGGCCTGGTCACAGACCGGCCGTGGGGGCGGATGACCCCGGATACTCTCTCGGGTAAACTCTCCAGGTATTCCCACCAAGCCAGGAGTTGGCCCGAAAAAGAAAAAAAACTTTTACCATCATTCACTCCATCACTGTCTTGCCAGAAGGGTGCTTTACCTACAGTTTTAAACTGTCAAACTTTAAACACCCCTCCTTCAGAGATGAGGCACTGTACTTCCATATCCGGACTCAAGTCCGGCCACTGCCGGTTTCCCTGAACCACTTCATAAATGTTACTTTGCCTTCCAACTCCAACAGCACGTCAAGTATTAAAAACCCATTTGTCTCCATTCAATCCTATCAAACACGCTCACGCATGCTTCTGGAAGTCCCAAGCCCTTCGGCACACAAAAACCATCCTTTACCCCCTCCTCCAACCTTTCCTAGGCCGACACCCTCCCCGCCCTTCCTTCCCATCAGTACTGATACACTCTTTAAGTCACTCTGTTTCGCTCCATTCTCTCTACGTGTCCGAACCACCTCAACACCCTTCCTCAGCCCTCTGGAACAGTTTTGGTAATCCCGCACCTCCTCCTAACTTCAAACTACGAATTTCTCTGGCATTATATTCACCCACACATTGCCTCAGACATGACATCTCCACTGCCTCCAGCCTTCGCCTCGCTGCAACATTTCTCACCATGCTTCACACCCATATAAGAGCGTTGGTTAAAACTTTACTCTCATACATTCCCCTCTTTGCCTCAGGACAAAGTTCTTTGTTCTCCACAGACAAGGATCTAAGTGCACCACTCACCCTATCCTCATCAATTCTATGATTCATCCTCATCTTTCATAGACCCATCTGTGACACGTCCACTTCCAATATCTGAATACATTTCACTTCTCCATACTCTCTCCCTCACAATCTGTTATCCAGTTCTTCTTCACCTAACTTTTTGTTATCCTCATAACCTTACTCTTTCCTGTATTCACTTTTAATTTTCTTCTTTTGTACACCCTTACCAAATTCATCCACCAATCTCTGACTTCTCCTTCAGAAATCTCCAGAGCACAGTGTTTATCAGCAAAGAGCAACCTGTGACAACTCCCACTTTAGGTGTGATTCTTTATCTTATAATTCCACGCCCTCTTGCCAAGACCCTTGCATTACCTTCTCTTACAAATCCCATCTATAAATTATTAAACAACCATGGTAACATCACCACATCCTTGGTCTAGGCTACTTTTACTGGTGAAATAATTCCCTCTTTCCTACATACTCTTAACTTGAGCCTCACTATCCTCATAAAAACTTTCACTGCTTTCAGTAACTACCTCCTACACCATACACTGCAATATCTGGCCAACATTGCCCCCCTATCCACACTGTCATACGCCTTTCCAAATCCATAAATCGCCACCAAAGACTCTTGAGCCTTATCTACCCCAAAATTATGCTATCACTTATATGTTTCACTGTAAAACCTGGTCCACACACCCCTCCTTACTAAAGCTCCCTTGTTCATCTGTTATCCTATTCTCCGGTCTTATCTTAATCTTTTCAATTAATAACTCTACCATACACTTTACCAGGTATAGTCAAACAGACTTATCCCCCTTTAATTTTTGACTCTCTTTTGTCCCCTTTGCCTTTATACAAAGGACACTATGCATGCTCTCTGCCAATCCCTAGGTACCTTACCCTCTTCCATACATTTATTAAATAATTGCACCAACCACTCCAAAACTATATCCACCTGCTTTTAACATTTTATCTTTATCTATCATCCAGCTGCCTTACCCCCCTTTCATTTTAACTACTGCCTCACGAACTTCCCCCACTCACAACTGGCTCTTACTTCACCTACTAAATGTTATTCCTCTTGCCCTATAACGAAATCACAGCTTGCCCTATCTCATCAACATTCAACAATTCCTCAAAAATATTCGTCCATCTTCCCAATACTCTAGCGCTCCATTTAATAACTCTCCTTCCTATTTTTAATTGACAAATCCATTGATTCTCTGGCTTCCTTAACTTATTATCTCCTCCAAAACTTTGTCTTTTTTATTTTTCAACACAAATTTGTTGATAACATCTCACCCACTCTCTCATTTGCTCTCTTTCATTGCTTCACCAAACTCACTTAACCTCTCTCTTTTCTCCATATTACTCTTCCCTCCTTGCATCACTTCCTACTTTGTTAAAAAACTTCTCTATGCTAATTTTTTCCCTTTACTACTCTCTCCTAACATATCATTCCACCAGTCGCTCCTCTTCCTCCACACCACTTTACTGTAAACCACAAACTTCTGCTGACACTGCAACACTACCTTTTTAAACCTACCCCATACCTCTTTGACCCCCATTGCCTTTGCTCTCATTAGCCCATCTATCCTCCAATAGCTGTTTATATCTTACCCTATCTGCCTCCCTCTTTTAGTTTATAAAACCTTCACCTATCTCTTCCCTGATGCTTCTATTCTCCTTGTGTCCCATTACCTTTTACTCTCAGTGTAGCTACAACTAGAAAGTGATCTGATATATCTGTGGCCCCTCTATAAACATGTACATCCTGAAGTCTACTAAACCCAGTCTTTTATCTACCAATACATAATCCAAAAAAACATGTCATTTCGCCGTACATCATATCTTGTATACTTATTTATCCTCTTTTTCTTAAAAAATTATGTATTACCTATAACAAAAACCCCTTTCTATAAAAAGTTCAATCAAAGGGCTCCCATTATCATTTACACCTGGCACCCCAAATTTAAACCTACCACACCCTCTCTAAAAGTTTCTCCTACTTTAGCATTCAGGTCCCCACCACAATTACTCTCACTTGGTTCAAAGGCTCCTATACATTCACTTAACATCTCCCAAAATCTCTCTCTCTCTCCTCTGCATTCCTCTCTTCTCCAGGTGCATACACGCTTATTATGACCCACTTTTCGATCCAACCTTTACTTTAATCCGCATAATTCTTGAATTTACACATTAATATTCACTTTCTCCTTCCATAACTGATCCTTCAACATTACTGCTACCCCTTCCTTTGCTCTAACTCTCTCAGATACTCCAGATTTAATCCCATTTATTTCCCCCCACCGAAACTCCCCTACCCCCTTCAGCTTTGTTTCACTTAGGGCCAGGACATCCAACTTCTTTTCATTCATAACATCACAATCATCTGTTTCTTGTCACCCCGCACTACATCCCGCACATTCAAGCATCCCAAGTTTTATAAAGTTTTTCTTCTTCTCTTTTTTAGTAAATGTCTACAGGAGAAGGGGTTACTAGCCCATTTCTCCCGGGCATTTTAGTCCCCTCGACGACACGCTTTGGCTTGGGGAGGAAAGATTTTTTTTCCACTTCCCATGGACAAAAAAAAAAATAGTACAAAAAATTTAAATTGCCATTCTGTGACCCAGTAAAAGAACTTTTTGGAATTATTAATCTTTGCAGGTTTTTAAAGACATTGATGTAGCAGACATCTATAGCTCTTAGGACGTCTTCCCCAGGATGCAGCCAAAAAGTTGACTAATTCTAGTATCTGTTCACTAATTGGTGAACAAGAGCAGTTGATGCAATGAAATTTGTCCATATGTTTCACCAAGGCTCAGACTCAAGTCCTATTGGTTTAAGCTAAACAATCTACAGGTAACATAAAATTTTTAATTTGAAAAGTAATTGAAAAAACACTATCCTGTCTATATTACATGCATCACATATTACTATTGTCAGTGCCCCTTTTTCATTAATTTACTATACTGTATTTGTCAATAAATGTTTTGTATCTTATTACAAAATATATACAAATCGTGGTAGAGGAAGGCAATTTACAAGAGCAAGAAAGTTCGGGGGATTAAGGTACACTTCTAGAAATGACCACATTCATATGCTTAATTTAAATTATTTAATGCAATTTTTTAATCTTTCGAAAAAGGGGAATTACTTGGTTTTAGTATTATAAATTCTAAAAAAGATTATAGTACTGTACAAGAAATTTAATGCTCCTGCTGATATCTGGACCTCAAGGGAAAATAAGTCACTGACTTTTTTTTAGGATATCCCAGGTAATCAAACACATGTGCTGCTATGTATGATAACTTATATAACTGTATTTATGTTTAACCTGTACTATCTTGATCATGCCCCTGGACAATCTTTGTACACCCTTGAACAGTCTTAACATGTTCTACAGCCATGGTAAGAAGTTGACTTGCCTCAATAGCCTTTCATTTATATCAAAAATAGTAACAGTGAGGTACAGTTGGGTGGCTGACTCTTGCTAATCTCTGGACTGTATTCAGTATTTGTTATGATGTTTATAATTTATAATTTGTTTTTTATTAAAGAGCATGCATATACCATATCATTACTGTAATTAAAATACTAGTTCATTCTGTAGCAGTTGTACTTATACCTATTATATGAAGTAGTTAATCTTTTATGGAAAGAAAAACGAAATGTGTTTATAAATTAGCTAGCATTTTACCATGATCCACAGACTACCAACAGTCCTGAAGAGTGTAGTCTATCAGGAGAGTTACAACCAGGAACACTGATGACCACAATGCCTGCCATGTAGCCATCTGCTCTGCTCAGTCTGCATTACCAACATGATGAAGATGAGTAAGCTGACCTACCCCACCTGCTGAACCCAGCACATTGCTACTGCCATTTCAGATTTCCCAGTGAGCTATGGTATGGAGGAACTAATAGTATCACTGAAGACTAAATCATCATCAAGACCTAGCCAAAGTTTCCTTCAGGGAATGGGAAAGAAGCAGAAGAGCTGCTTGTGTGATCTTGATACTAGCTGTCAGAAAGCCATCCACCAGCTGAGTATGTATGAAGACCTGGTGGCAGACTGGCAGAAACAGCGCCAACAATTCATCACCAGACTTGAGGTTCTGGTGATGCAACATAAGGAAGCAAAAGAACTCTGAAAAAATATTTTGAAGAGCATAGTAAGAAGCTAGTAAGTGTAATAGTGTCTGGCCTCAGTCAGCACTGAAGGTAAAGTTCATGCTATAATTGAGGAAGCTGACAACTGCACCATCATGGCTGAAACTTGCATCCAGAAGTGCCTTATCTTTCCAGACATTCACGATTTTTGCACCTCACTGAAGGTAAGACGCCTGAGGAAGGCTTACTAATTACAGTATTTTGGGCTGTATACACTGTTTAGTATTATATAAATGACTTGGAAACTAACAAGTAGATGAGACACTTGTGCAACACTCGGGTATCTTTATTGTGGTAACATTTTGCCAACCAGTGGCTCTTTTCAATCCTGTACAGAGAAATATGGTGGAAAAGGTGAAGAGGGACTTCGAGGTAATAAGTCCCTCTGCGTAGAGATGGTGTTCAGTCCATCAGCCTTGAAAAGTACAGCATATGCACAGACAGGTATACTGGAGACAGGGGAGGCAAAGCAGTTAGAGGTGGCATCACAGGTGGGCAAAGTCTGCTAGTGATTCCAAGATGTTGTTCAAACAAGTATTATTATATAAATGGTTTAGAAAACTGACAAGAAAATGTCTCTAGTAATTAGCTCCTTCTCCTTGCTTACTTTTGTTAAGGCTGGTGAACTAAATGCAATTTCTAGGCTGAGGGACTGATTACCTCAAAACCCTCCCCCATACTTTTGTGTTTCTCTTTATTGGATTAAAAAAACCCACTGGTTGGTGAAAACGTTTCACCAGAAATACAGATATCCAAGTGTTGCACAGGGGGTCTCATTCAGCAAAGTTTAGTGTATCAATTCAGTGCTAAAGGACTCGTGAGGCTGTAAATAATAATAGTAAAAAATAATATTTTTTTATTTCTTTTTCTATACAAGGAATACAGTATTTGTTATACATGAATTAGTCAAAGGTAAAGGTAGGCACAAAAGAACCCACTAATTATGCAGTATTTTTTGGGCAACTAATAAGTTTTTCATGCTACTTAAAAACTACATATAATTTTGTTGATTTATTGATCTTCAATTTTATGGAATGTTTGAACAGAGGTGGTGAAAACAGAAAAATTTACCAGAGCAAGTGGTATTTGTTGCTTTAATTACATGTTGTCTGGCACCAGATTGGGTAATCATTTATAGAGCAGCTTTTTGTTGAGCTGCTGTTGGTTTTTTAAATGAACAGAGTATCAAATACGCAGGCACAAATACCATAGGTGAGGTAAGATTGATTAGGGAGTGGTACACAGCACGGTGTCTTTAGAAAAGGATACTCATGTGCTGGGATTTGGGTACTGAACTTCAAAGTGCAGACCTAAGAATTTTCCTTCAGTTTGTCTTACAATGGGAGAACCAAATTGATCATTATATTTGGTGGGAACATTTGTAGCTCTGTTTCAAAACCAAACAACATGTAGAAAGTCTTGTCAGTATTAAGAGAGAGTATTGGTAGTCATCCAGGTAGATATCTGGTAAGAACTCCTCAATAACAGAGTTGTTGAGAGAAGTTGGATTTGAGTGGGAGATGATAGAAGTTGTGTCATCTGCAAACAGAACAGGTTCAAGTAGATGAGATGCAAAGGGGAGATCATTGCTGTAAGGATGCCCTGGGGCACCCCTATGTCAGTGATTATACTGGTATCTGCTACTAAAATAAGACTAAGTATGCAAGAGTATGACCTCTAATGCCATAATGTTCTAGTTTAAGTTTGCAGGATGTTGTGGTCCACTGTATCAAAAGCTTTCTGAATGTCTATGAAGATGCCTAGAGGATATTCACTATTTTCAACAGCTGCATAAAGCATTTTTATAATTTAATCATTTGTACTGTTTCTTGGCATGAAACCAAACTAGCAGGGTTTGAGTATATTATGGGACACTAAGAAAGAATAGATTCACTTATGAATTAATTCTTCAAATATTTTAGATAATGGCAAGCTGGATATTGGCTTATAGTTATATACATCAGTTGGATTGCCTCCCTTGTGTATTGGGGTAATTCTTGCTGTCATAAGCATTGTTGAAATAGTTCTGGTTTCTAAATATTCATTGAACAATGTTGCAATAGCAGGTGATAGCACATGAGCTGCTTATCTGTACATTTGTGCTGGCAAATTGGGTAAGTTTCCCACCTTGTTTATCAGTGAGTTTATATAATTGTGACGTCAATAGGATTAGTTAGAACTAAATCGAGTGAGTCTAGAAAACTTCCAGTAAGGTAGATTTTCAAAAAATATGGTAATGGTTTACAGTTTCTTTAAACAAAATGCCTATGGTAGTTTATACCAGCTGATAATAGACCCAACAAAATGTAAACTTTGTAAGTGGATCCAGTCTCTCTCCTTGCATTATCATATATGCTTGAATGCCATAAAAAACAGGAATTTATAGACAAATCACTCATAAATGGTCATAAAATTTCTAAATATACTTCATTCACAATAACCACTGCAACTTGCTGAAATAACAGATCACCTTTGTCAGTACCCTAAATCAGTGGGAATCTGTAACAAAGTAAATTACTGTATACAGTGGACCCCCGCATAACGATTACCTCTGAATGTGACCAATTATGCAAGTGTATTTATGTAAGTGCGTTTGTACGTGTATGTTTGGGGGTCTGAAATGGACTAATCTACTTCACAATATTTCTTATGGGAACAAATTCGGTCAGTACTGGCACCTGAACATACTTCTGGAGTGAAAAAATATCGTTAACCGGGGGTCCACTGTATTTGGAATGACTGAGTGAGTTGTGAAACCAACCTATTACTACAGTAACCAAATGCTTTATTATCATGAATAGTTTTTTACTAATGGTAATTACATAACAATCATAGCTCTGTATTTTTTTTTGCTACTGCCCACAGTAAAACAATACCCCAGCCAGACCTCCCCACCCTATCGGAGAAGTACAAAATTAGAACCACAAGAGTGCACAATAAATTACGTTAACCCTAACACACATACAATGCTATCCAAAAGTATGAAACGTACATCATGTAAGAACATTAAGCATAAAAAACTACAATGGTACATCTGTTCCTAAACCTTAATACAAAGGTAAAGGCTATAACTGCCTCATGGCTTACAAAAACTAAAAATACAATTAATCAGTAAGTACATTATATAAACATGTAACAGTTTGGTTTCTAACAACGGGATTCGCCAAAAACAAAAAAAAAATGGGTTTTAAAGGATTTCCTGTAGTCAAGTATAGTAGCAAGAATCGTCCACATCATAAACAGCAATCATCTTAGTGAGTGCCTAACCTCACAGGAAGACCATGGCACACCCCACCTAAAAAAGCCTATTACAGTAGTAAAACATATACAGCCCCAACAGGAGCAAAACTCCTAAGACTGTATTCAACACACATAGTAGCAATATGCAGAGCAGTAAATTTTTTTATATTTTATTTAAAAAATTATCACAATACAAAAATGAATAAAAGCTAAAAAATTATGGCCACAAGCAGTCCATTCACAAAAAACTCCCAGTATACAATCCACACAACAATACTACACCAATGCTAATGTAACTAATACCCGCTGCTCGGCTCATAAATATCACTCAATACCTGTAATATGCAGAATTAAGAACCTGTGCTGCAACACAGATGCCTTAAACACTCCCCTCCCCCTCTACACAATATGAAAACATAACCACATTACCTAAAAAACATAACCATAACAGTAAATGGCCCCAATTAGACAAATCAAAGACTTATCTTGTCACATGAAGTAAAAAATTTCCAATCCTTGTTTGTACAGGAATACCAACTTAACAGAGGGAGTACTACATCAAACAAAAAACCAAACCTGGCCCAAGAACTTCAGAAAGCCCCCCCCCCCCCGCCATCCCCTGACACTACACAAATACTCCCCCCTTTCATACTCATGCCCGTACCTGAAGTCTAAAGTCAAAACCCCAGTCTCTTAACTGTATGTCTTCAGTTCACCCCCCCACTATGCCCCCCTCATGCTTAACGACTGCACACCCACATACTCCACTACCACACACTCTTTCCACATTCCACTCTCCACGGGTCTCAAAACAAAGCAAAGTGACAGTTTAGGGGAAAAAAACCCATCCCAGCTCTAACCTACACCCAACCCTAACATTACACCTACCGTCAGATTTACGATAACCCAAGGAAAACTATTTACCCACACCCTCCCAATAGTAGCCTAAATTTCCCGCAAACCGTACGATACACTCGCCGCAAGCGCCCGCAAACCCTACAGTCACCCCCCCCCTCCCGCATACCCCAAGACATACAAAAAATCTGCCACCACATACATTTACTGCCCTCTGAATGTCCTTGGAAACCCCTCCCACATCAAAATGCAAAGCCCTCAAAGTCAAAATGTTTCTCTCCCCTCCCCCTGCCACTATACCTAGGACCCTCGGGTAACCATTCCTTCACCCCCCAAATTTTCACAAAAATATACAGCATGAAAAGCCGTCTCCTCCTCCCCACAATGCAAACAATTGCCTGCACCTACTTAACCCATTCTATATAACCTGACCTTGAAGCTAGAATTCCCAGAAAGAATCTATAACCACTTCACGAACCCTGATATACACTCGTAAAAGCAGTTTTAAAAAATGAGAAAAATGCTGTTTTCTTGAAAAAAAAAATGGGTGCAAATACTATATTTGGGGCATCTGTAAACACGAATATCAGGGAAAACGAATGGGGCATGCAACTTTGAGCATCCCAAAAAATGCCGTGACCTCCTGTCTAAAGGGGGTGTCGTTCTACCTCTTGCAAATACTTCCACCCGGAGATGTGTCATCTTCAGTCCTTGAAAAACAATGTTACGATACCAATTGCACTGCATATCATCTAAAAGGGACCAGGAGGCACACACCCCATACAACACATCATAGTAGATATGGTAGCTATGACAACACCCCAAGTGATTTTTTAGTGAAAATGGAAAGAGATAACCAAAATAGTACACCACCTTGGAGCCTTGTTGGACTGGAGGCACAGCAAATGGCCCCTCCGGGCTCACAGCTACTGATGCCAACAACAAACATGCAACACAACCTCATTTATATTTGCTTAATATACAGGGCCTTTTAAACCATCCACAAACAAAATACCTTTCATTAGTGGACTTCTAGAGGAGTCGAATGCACTTTTGCAGCCTTCACAGA